GTGTATTTGCCAAACTTATTGCCAGTTCCAATGACTGTTCTCAACTGTGTGAGAAACCATGTCCAGTTGTCTGTCTCTTCCTTATCAACAACACCAAAAGCTATTGGGAAGATGTTATTGTTGCCATCCCTCCATGTAGCTGCCAATATCTGCTGACCAGTGCTGAGCTTGACGAAGCAACCATCCAGACCTGCTAACATGATAACATGAGTGCCTAATTACATCAATATTAAAAAATCATATACATTTCTGAATACTTACCTATAAATGGCCTGCATCCATTCAGAAAACTCCTTGCATGCAAACAAGTAGTAAAACATATAGTGAAACCTTGGGGTAGGAGCTAGGTTTAGTGAGTCGTCATGTGTTGTTATTATGCACCTACTGCCAGGGTTAGTATCTAGCACACACTGCAGGTAGTCCTTTATTCTGTGATACTGGAGTTTGTGATCTCCTTGCACAACCTCAACTGCTTGCTTCCTTGCCCTATATGCCAAGCTTTTAGGCACATGCACACCAAACTTCTTCTTTGTGTATGACATAATTGTGTCAACACCAGCTCCAGGGTTGGATATGACTGTATCCTCACAAACCTTAGCAACCCAACTGACTGCCACTTTTGTGTTCTCTCCACTTGCTCCACAAGTGTGATCCAGGTTCATCTTCTTGATACTGAAAGTTGCCTCATGAGCTATCTTAGAGGCAACTATGTAAAACTCACAACCATGTTTTCTCTTAGAGCACCAAGAAATAACCCTAGTTGGTTCATTTATATGATACTCAAAATTTCTAAGAGTCCTCACATGAAAATTTCTAAGTGCTTCTCTGAACTCAACTACATTTTCAAAGCACAAATGCATTGAAAACTGCTCATGTGCATCAGGCCTTTTTGGATCATACCATCTCCTCTCCTTCTGCTTCTTCCTACTCTTCCTTCCAGATGGCAGCCTCGGAGCATCATCTTCATCACTTATGCCAAAATCACCTGGAAAACAGTACTCGTCAGCTTCAGGGACATAATCTTCAAACTTGATGTGCTCAGGCTCACTATGAGACTTGCTAGTTGGGCCAGGTTTTCTAACTGGCTTAAGCTTTTTGGCTGCTTTTGTAGTTACAGTAGCAAGATCCTCTACTTGTTCATCTTCAGAAACAATTGGTTCTTCCTGCCAAAACTCAGAAGGTTTTGAGTTAGTTGCACAAAAGTGCTCTGCAGTATCAGTGCCAGCCTCATCTTCACCCCTACACCAAGCTTTGTAAGAAATTTTCTCCCCTCTGTAATCACCCCTAAAGAACTCAAAATCTGAAGATGATTTGTCATCTTCAGCTTCATCTTCTTCCTCTGGTACATCTTCATCTTCTTCTTCTTCAGCTGCTTCTTCTTCTAGATCTTCTTCTTCCACAACTGTTTTCCCCTTGTTCAAATTGTTGCTTTGTTGTGTGTTCATGTAGGGCTCATCAGGGGTTACAGCTGGCAAACTAGCATTAGAGGCAGGGTACAGAACACCTTCTTGTGAAACTCTGTAAACAACAGGTTGACCAACATGATCAATGGGGATCTGTTCCTCAAGCATGATGTGATCCATATTAACATCTGGTGGGCTTGGATCAGTAGCTTTTCTGACAGTGATGTTCAATACCTTCTTATCAACAAATAAGTCAAGCATTTCCTATAATGCCTCCTCATTATCCAGGGCATCCACCCCCCTCCAGCCCTTTCCCTCTTCCTTTACATAAGTCAGAAAGGCATCCTTTCCTTAGCCCTCCAACTCAACCAATGCTAATATGGTTAGAAAACTGATATCTGAGGAAACTGAATACTTTTTCTCCATATTATCTGTTCCTTGAAAATGTAGCCTCAAGTCCCAAATCTCATCATCTAAGCTGTAGGATTAAATTGACAAACAATTATTTTTTAAGTCACTGAAACTTAGAACAATGACCAAATGCACTGAACATTACTGAAATTTCTTCTAATTACAGTGAATGCACTGACCAAATGAGCACTTTCTTCTACAGTGACATAACCAATAAAATACAGTAGCATGCCAAGAACAAACAATTACTAACCCTAGTTCTAATTTGAACTAAAGGACCCAGAAATTTGAACTAAAGGACCCAGAAACATTGACCGGTGCTTACCTCACTCCACCAAAGGACGACGCCCAACTGTGGCCGCCTGCTGGACCAGCGTGGATGCACTTCGCCACTTCCCTAGCCGCGCGGACTGTCGGATCTGAGCTCGCCGGATCCACCTGAGCCGCGGGCAGTGATGGCTGCTGCGACCGCTGCGCCGGAAAGCTCGAACTGCCTAGCCATTTCTCCACCTCTGAGTGTCCACCGCCCTCCTGGCCGGTGCCGCCTTGGCTTAATAGCTCGCCGTCAACGGCATTTGGCTGCGCTGCCGCCATCGCCCACCTAGGTCACTGCGGGGGAGAGGAGGGGGACTGAGAGAGTGTGTGACCCGATCGCCTACTTTGGTTCCGACCGAACTGGCCTGGCTAACGGCCGCGCCGTGAGCGCGCGTGGCCACGTGGGCTGACAGATGGGCCCAATCTGTCAGGAAAACTGTTAAATTGCTAGTCACTGCGGGTTTGGGTTTTTTGAAACAGCGGATCGCTCGTTTGGTAGGTTTCTGAGAAAATTTAAAAGGTGGTAGTTTTTTGGAACCCTACCCTGTAAACTAGTAGTTTTATGCTATTTACTCAATTAAAAAGAGCTGGCTAGGCAGTGGTAGTCTTTTACTGCCATGTGCATGTGTGCGCGTGGTGGGACAATCCACTGCAAAGAAATTAAGCATGCATGCCGCTTATCTTTGCATGGTCATGTATTCATTCACAGGTGTGCACATCTGCAAAGAAATTAGGTGTCCCACTGCATTACCAAAGAGGGTATGGGTGCTTTATGCCTTGGTAGATGCATTGTCGCCAAAGGTGTTTTTCCTTCTTTTGACAAGGGTCAAGTTGAACCGTGTAGATATTTGGTGGAGCATAAGTTGATGAATGGGCTCCTCAAAGACCTAATCGATGACTATCCGGTGTGAAAAAAGATTAACTAAACCAAAAAATTCAGTCAAATCATAGGGGGTCTAACAGACCCGTCCCCCGCGTCGCCCTCCCTGGCGGCGACGGGGGAACCCAGATCCAGCCGCCCTTCACCCTTCCCATCTCCATCCCAACCTCGCCGCCACCGGAGGAACGGCCGGCGAAGCCGGCGCCGTCTCCCGGGATGGTGGCGGCGGGGCGAGATCGCTCCCTTTCGGTGGTGAGAGTCCGGATCTGAGGCGGCGGCCTCGCTGGTGCGGACGGCGCTTCCCCGGCGGCGGGGAGTGATCGTCGGTGAGGTAGGCCGGTTCCCCTCGGTTGTGCGGACAGCGAGGTCCCAGTGGGCGCAGGTCTTGGCGCGGGGAGGCCCCGGGCTCCCCGCGTCAGATCGGAGGCGATCCAGGTCCGCTCGTGATGCATGACCTCCGGCCGGCCTGGATCTCCGGCGTACTCGCGCTTGCGGATATTGTGGCTGGTTCGGAGGTGGCGGCAGGGTGCTTGGCCGAAGGAAACCCTTGGCCGCCGGTGGCGGTCACGGCGTCGATGGCGTCCCGGACGCCATTCCCTTCTTGGTGGCGGCACCGAGGCTAAACCTCCCCTGCCTCCCCCCTTCCCCTGCGCCCGGTGAAAACCCTAGCCCCGGTGGCTAAGCGGCGGCGGCGCCACAACGTCGTCACCTTCTTGAAGGCGCCGACTTGGGCATGGGGGTGCTGGGTGTGCATGGCGAGCTTGTCTGGTTCCTGGTGGCGGCCCGCCTGATCTGCTGCGTCGCAGCTCCAGGCAGTGTCTCAGGGCTGCGGTGCTTCTCTTCCGACCGTGTCTCCGATGGGGACCTCGCCCTCCCTCACCCTGTACATGCCGTGGTGGAGCGGTACTTCATCTCACTCATTGATGGCGGCGAAGATCGGCGGCATGGCGATGTGGAGGCTCGCCGCCCGATGCGCGGAGATGGACTCGCGCAGGAGGAGGTTGCTGTCTGGCGTCATGGTGACGTCGATGGCAGAGTGGCCAGACAATGTAGAAGCCTCAATATGATCTGAAGACCGACCTGTGGAAGATGGTGGCGACGACACACGAGTGCGTCTGACCGGATTGTGCCCCAGACCCGGTATGTGGCTCGGCTGGGGCTTCCGAATATGTTTCGGTTTCCGGCTTTTTGATGTTAGGCTTAGGTGAGTGGTTTGGGTAGTGGCCCAACTAGCACCCTTTCATCATTTTGGATAGGAGTAGCGGCATGTGTTGCCAAGATGGTGGATTCAGGCTCATTGTTGTAATACTTTGTAAGGTCCTCGAGAATAATCAATAAAGTGGCCGTATGCATCTCCCAGATGCAGAGGCCGGGGATCATCCTCCTTTTAAAAAAAAAGCTGATCATCGTTGGAGTGGTGCATGCATGTGCGCGTGCTGAGTTCATTCACGTTTTTGCACACCTGCAAAGATATTAGGCATGGCACTGCATTGCCAAAGAGGGTATAGGGGCAACTTCGCCGTAGTTTCCCTTGTCACTGCCCTGAGATGAGACCGTCACATGCTTCCTGCTTACATGCCGCACCAGACTCTGTGTGTGTGTGCAGGTTAGGCTGCGGCCGCTCCACATGTAGTGGGTTTTGGGGCAGCCCCACGTCCGTTTGCTTCTCTCTTTCGCCTCTGCGGTGCCCTCGGCCACTTATAAACTGCCCCCTCCACCACTGGCTGGCGTAGTCGTTGCGCTCTCTAGTTGCAGGCTTGTAGCTCCAGCCCCTCCAGAAGGAAGCACACCAAGCTAACAAGCTAGGAAGAACATACCTTGCATCCGACAAGCGAGTGACGTACGGTGAGTCCCCTCCATCTCCGGCCGGCCATCTTGCTAATGTGCTTTTTTTCTTCTTCTTTCCCCTCTTCTTCTTCTTATTTCATGTTGAATGGGGACGTTAATTGTTGCTGATCTCATCCTACTCTTACCTAGTAGCTTGGATCTCCATGGACGGCAAGGCGCCTCATCTGCTGCCTCCGAGCCTGAGCGAGGCCAAAAAGAAGATCCGGGATGACGTCCCACTGGTCTGCGGATGGGCGCTCATCAACGCCTTCAGCGTCGTCTTCGGCCCAGCAAGCGGCTACATAGCCGACTACCTCCATGTCTCGTGCAGCAAGGTAATTACCCACCTACCCGTACCCATCGGATGCTTTTGCTTGACATTACTGTGACCGATCCATCATGCGCTCTTCCCCTGCAGTCCTCCTTCATTCTGCCGTGCATCGAGCTGACGGACGCGGAGGAAGCCAGGCTAGTCGCCCTCTGCATCGGGATGCTGTGCTGCGCCCCATCCCAGGCAGCCGCGGCGGCGCTGGCGCTGCTGCTCCCACGCCGCTGTCGCCGGGCCCGCCGCGCCCTCGCCTACCTCGCGCTCGCGGTCACAATCCTCTTCCATTGCATGTACGTCAGCACCTTCTGGATCCTCCTCGCCGCCGACCCAGGGTACATCTTCGGCAGGATCTACTACACCGTGATCATCTGCTTCATCGTGGTGTGCGACCTCTGGTGCTGCGTGGCCCTCCTCTTGGAGGTGATGCGCGGCGCAAGCAATGCGCGTAGCCTAGCCTGTTAGTTCAGCTAGCTGCAAGGGATCATGTTCGTGGATCAGCTCATGACCTCATGTGAGGTACCGATCGATGAGAGCGTAATTCTAGGGAAAAAGGTAGATTATGCATTAATTCTGCTGTGACGATTGATGGACTAGTGCCGTATTTGTGAATCTAGCTAGTAGCTGGTGTAGTGTAAATATTCAGATCGACTCTAGTAGTTAATTACTGCGAATCAACCTGTGGTTGAGTTGGTTAGGAGGAGACGTTCCCGTCGACGATGAGGCGCCTACGATGACTTCATAAATCTCAAGATGAGTAAATTCCTTGAACTGATTGATCCATGGCCTTAGGGCGGAATCCCTTTTTGACTCTGTACCCTTGATTCCACTATGATTATTGATCAATTTAGTATAATCCCTTCATAGAAATAGGAGACATAATTTAGATGGATATAGTAAGTCTCGCTTGGGCTGCTTTAATGGTAGTCTTTACATTTTCTTTTTCACTAGTAGTATGGGGAAGGAGTGGACTCTAGGGATACTACTAATTGATTAAGTCTCTCGGAAGTGCTCATAGGGGTAGGGTGTGTGTGTGTGCGTTCATAGGGATGAGTGTATGCGCGTGTATATGAGCGCTTATGTCTGTACTGATGCTCAAAAAAAAAAAGACTCTAGTAGTTAATTACTCCATTTGGGCTATGCTGGCTATATGATTAGACTGGATGGATTGTGGTTATGTTTGATGTATTCCTCCTTTCCTCTATGTGATCGTCAGACATGAGTTATATTTATGCTTAAATTGATGTTTGCAATGTAATTTGATGTTGCCGAAATTGTTGCAGTGTAATTCCATGCACACATGTTGTTCTGGTGTTAAAAATTGGTTTTCATTCATTCCGGCAACCGCTAACGTATCCTCTAGGCTGGGCTGCGTGCCGGTGCTCTCGGCTGAGATTTAGTGACCCCTGTCCCGACCCATGTGACCATAGCTTGGAATGCCCTCCTGCAAACTAAGGTCATTTTTTATGCATGCCCATTTTTCGTTTGCAATATCCACACCCCGACAGTGAAACTTGACTTACTTGCATGAGCGGTTTGACCGCGCCTAGACGCAACAATCCTCCTTGAACATTTGAAAATTATGTTTTTTCGGTCAGATCACCGAGTCGAATATTTGAGTCACGAGTTAAGCAACCATCTAAAGAGTTGTGGAATTGTTCCACAACTTACACCTACCTGAACACCTGAAACTACTGGAGTATCCTGAAGATATAATTGAACTTTATTGAATATATGGTTCGATCAAGAGAGAAGTGCATAATTTAATCTTGAACTCATGCCCTAGTTTAAGTTACAACTCCCAACTTCAAAACCAGTTAGTACACAACCCTAAACTTTCGACACCATTCAGTTTAGCCCCAAAGACGCTTGGAGGGTGGTTTTGTGTAACGTGGCATCATATTTGACTAGTCAACAATGATCTCGCATCTGAGTTGCATAAA